CGGAGGGGTGCACGAGGAAGATGTCGATCCTCAACGCCGGATGAGGCCGCTGCGGCGAACTGGGCGCCGAGGCATCCTTGTCAACTGAGACGTCCTCGACGAGAACCAGTTACTCGTCCTCCACCAGTCACGATTCAGGCTGGGCGGCGGCTGCGCCCGACAGCGGTGGGGGGCTGCGCCGGATCCGACTCCCCCGCAGGGTTGTGGGGAGCTCGTGTCGACGGTGACCGCGCCCGGCGACGGAGGGGGCATGGGTGGCGGCGTCAGCTCTGTAGAGGAAGGAGCGGGCTCCACAGGCGATGTTGGCAGCGGCACGGCCTCCCCGCGAACGGCCAAGGTGCCCGCACCCGGCCCAGCGGCCTCTGCGCGTTTGCCGGCCGCGGCGGTGATAGCCACGGTAGCAGCAGCCTCCAGCGGCGTCAAAGGGGGCAGAGTGGGTGGGTGACGCCGGATCAGGCCCCCTGGCGTTATAGTACACTTGTTTACTGTAATTAGCTCTTTGTCGGTAGCTCTCCATTAGTTCCACAACAAAATACTACGTAAATACTCCAAGAAAAGGAGAGGATTCACATGAACATGTCGTCATCGTGGCATGACTCTCTTGTTAATACCAAATAATATCATTAGATTAATCACATCATACATTTGCATGGAAAATCTATTATACAAATACTAATAATATTTTCTATAAATCTAGTCAAACTTAAGATTGGTTGACTACTTGGAGTATCATATGAGCACTTATTTTAGGATGAAGGGAGTAGACCTTATTAGAGATTGTCCAACAACCGTCGAAATCGATAACTTCCTTCACATTGCGTATGATCTTGAGGAGAGGAACATGCTAAAAGAACTTGCTAATGGCGCTCAAGTGAGCGAAGGCACCTCGAATGGTGACTTATAAGCTAACTCTAAGCATATTATTTTATATTTTAATAAAAGAGGGAGAAAATTATCTGTTGATCAAGAGCTAGTCTTATACATACACTCCAAGATCATATAAGTTGTCTTAGAGAAATTGTCTTAATGCTAATAACTATCTCAATCATACTGTTGATGGAGGTGCACTGAGTGATATACTCTCACGGGCTTTGCTGCAGTACCCCAAATAACTATGGGCCGTTCATTGATTCTGATCGGACAGTCACCATAAAATAGGATAAATAAGGAAAGTTTTAGATAGAAAAAAAATCATTTTTCTAGATTTGATTGATGCATGTGTGATCTCTGACGGATATGGTAAATCTTTTTAATTTTATAACTTTTACTTGATATATTTTGATTACCATATTATTTTGTATGTAACTTTATACACTTGATTTTGCATGTGTTAGGATTTGCATGTGCACGTGATTAGCGTGTGTGGTTAGCCTGTGTAGCGTGTGTGTACGCGGCTAACCTGGTTCGCGTGTGTGTGGTGAGCGTGTGTGTACACACGTGGTTAGCCTGGTTAGCGTGTGTATACATGGTTAGGCTGGTTAGCGTGTGTGTGGTGAGCGTGTCCATGCATGCATGTTAGATGAGTGGTTAGTGTTAGAGTGTAAGTCCATGGGTCATGGGCTTGCTGACCCCGGCTCCCCATCGTGCCTATATGTACTCAATGGTTGTCACTAATCAATGTTAATCGAGCATTATCTGAACCTTAATACTCTCTCATGGTATCAAGAAACGGTTCGCTCCTGCGACCTCTCCGCTTCTGCAAACCCTAAAGCCGCCGCCGCTGAGATGCCTCACAGGCTGGTTTGGATTTTATGCTCTAAAGTTTAGCTACTAAAGTGTTGTCTATAAATAATAGGTCTAAAGTGTTGTCTAAAGTTTAGCGAATCTAACAAAAACTTTAGATCACATATGTAAGCTAAAGTGGTCTAAAGTTTTAGTCCTTAGCTTTGCCAACTAAACTTTAGACCAGATAATCAAAACATGCCCTTAGTTAGCATGACATATTTCTTACATGACTTTTGTGTAATGTTTACTTCCTGTTGAAAGAAAAATATAATTGTAGGTTTAGGACAAGTCAAACTTTCTTAAATTTGATCAAGTTTATACAAAGTAATATGAATAATTATATGTTGAGATAGATTTGATATAAAAACATATTTATAGTTATTCTGATGATACTTACTCAACTTCATAAGTATAAATTTGATCAAGTTTGAATTTATTTGACTCCCCAAGAAGTGACAATATTTTTTCTTGACCGAAGGAACAATCGCTTCCGTATCTGCCGCGTGATTAGTCCGTCGTTAGGGGAATCGGCATGCATATCTTTAAGTTCCCTCCCATCATTAGGGGGATGGCCAATTTTTATTTTGTTTTCCTGGATTTTTTAATTTATTAAGTACTTTATAGAATGTGAAAAATGAATGGCTCAGATTGATTTGAAATATTACCTCCTCAGAGGTAAAGTTTGTACCTTAGCATTGCCCTGCTCTCACGGCTTCCCATAAATCCAGTCTCTAATTGCATTGTCTTATTTGCTTGAACCTCCTGGTCAGCTGACAATTTCACTGCATTTGAAGACTAAGGTGAAAGTGATGTAGAGAAGTCTCTGTGCCCATCCGATTCAAATTTTGAGGATACAAAGAAGAACTTTTAATATTCTTGTGGATATCATTTGACTGTGCATGGATGCGGGGTAGGATATAGAATCGATAGAATCTAATGTATATGGATTATCCACAAATTCAATATGGATTATCCGATGTGACGATGTTTAAAATTGGATATATGATAATTTCACTCCTGTATTAAAACCAAGAGGAATTCAACATCTAAAAATGCTTTTTAGTTGAGAACTCTTATTTATGGCGTGGTTGTTTTATGTTCTATATTTTGAATCGGGAATTTACTGGCTATTGTTATTGGCTGATAATTAAGTGAGGATACCCTGTTAAGTGTTAATTGTGTCGATGTGTGATAGCCACAGCAGGGAATGCAATGCAAGACGTAAGTCAATTACGTCTGCTCTGAAATGGGGGCACCGGAGTACCGCACACGCCAACACGCTACTCCAACCTCCATCGCAAGTTGGATGCGAAGGGACGGACGGGGCGGCGTATGTATACGACCCGCACGTGAGCGTGGTCCGCGTTTGAATGGAGACGAAATCGCAGTGAGACTTCAAAATAGGAATAAAAAGCACGAGAGGAGTACGAATGCGACTTGAGGTCAAATAGTAGCTCTATCTGAGGCCTAGGAGTACTGGTGCTGGTTTGGGCTGATTGGTGCTGGTTTTTTGTGATAGAAAAATACTGTTGACTGGCTGAAACCAACGAGCAAACAGGCCAACTATTAGGTTGTAGACGCCGTGGGAACATTGAGCATATGTTTTCAGGATGGGGGCATTTCTTTTACACACCAAATAAAAAGCACATGTATGGTAATCTCAATATACCTAGCCGGTTGTATATTATTAGTATTCTTTAAAGTGTCGTGTACAAGGCTATGCATTCTAAGATGGAGGGCTTGACCAACCGATCGAGCACTTTGTATATAGACCAAAGAAATTGACCCAAACTAACTTTTCTCAAAAGCATCAGTTCTGGTGGTATTACCACCTTGCTACAAAAGTGCGCCTCAGATAACATTGAATACCTGAAACTAAGCACGTTCCTTCCACGCGTCATGTTGAACATGTTTCGGTCTCCATGTCATTTATTTTGGTCATCATCTCACATGCGGCGCATCAGACCTGCAGACCGCATGACCAAATCTGGAAAGTAAAAAGCGGTCACGATTCACGTACAATGCACAGTTAGTTCACATACTACAATACAGGCACGTTCCTTCCCTGCTTCATGTCATGTTGAACATGTTTCCAGTCTCCATGTCATTTAGTTTGGTCATCTCATGACCAAATCTAGTGTAGAAACTAAAAGGCGATCAATGTTCACGGACAATGCACAGTGTGATGTGTCCCAAAGAAATGCGAGGGCAACTTCAACTTGGAGCATGGCATGGATGGCAAGTCACCGGCCGGCCGGCGGCACGTGCTGATCCAAACCCATCGTTTTCCCTGGACTGGAAGTCTGGAAGAAATAATCAGTGGATGTGGACTTTTTTTTTTATACAGGACCCGGGCGAAGAAGGTGCCTGGCATCCGGCTCGCGTCCAATTGCTCAAACCATCATAGTCGTGGTCCAGCCCGCCAAAACATATTCAATCTCAGGACAACGACCGCGCCGGGGGCTGCTACGGTCTGTCCATCGGACGGTATCCCGCGCCGCCAACTTTTTCCGCGCGCGGACAGATGCTGGCCCCAAGCGGATGCCGACACCTGGCGCACGGCGGCCCACCTCACTCATCAGCCCAGCTACGCATGCACACAGACTTTCCGTGAACTAAAAAAGTCATAATTTCTAAACCAAACCATCGGGTTTCTTAAAAAAAATCATTCAAAATAAGATCACGCATGAATATATTTAGATAAAAATTTATTAACGAACATTTAGCTTACGAAGATATAATATTTTCTTTATTGAGGAGAGACGATGAACAATGTTCCGTCTTCGTAAGAAAAATGTTCTCGGTTTAGAAGAACAGTATTCTAATTTTAGGTTCGTGAAATTGCTATTATAATATATATAAAAATAAATAAGTAAATACATAGCTTAAAAAATACAATCTAGAGCAAAGCATAAGAAAAAAATAAAAAAACATAATAGAGATAAATTTAAAAAGATTATTACATACTTTTCAAATATTCTAAAATATATTATAAAATATCATACTAAGTAAAGATCGCTAAATACACCATATAACATCACAAATACATTATAGAACATCGCGACGAACCAAGCCCTCGTCATCGTTCGTCGATCTCACTCATCGTCGTCGCGTCAAACCTGCTGTCACGCAATCCCAATCCCCACCCGGCCACCCTATAAATTCGTCCCTCCTACGCCTTCCCCGCAGCTGACGACAACCCAGCGCGCGCAAGAACGAACTAGCGTAAGCGAGGACCGACTTCAATCGCTCTAGCTCGCAGCAGCGGCAGCGCCATGATGTCCTGGAAGAGGAAGACGGGCAGCGGCGGCGGCGGCGGGGCGGAATCGCCCACCCGGGGCGCCGCCGAGGAGGAGAAGGTCGTCGTCCCGCGAGGGCACGTCCCGATGCTGCTCGCCGGCGGGGACGACGGGGGCGATCATGGCGAGCGCGTGCTGGTGCCGGTGCGGCTGCTCAGCGACCCTTCCGTCGCGGAGCTGCTGGACATGGCGGCGCAGCGGTACGGGTACGGCCAGCCGGGCGTGCTGCGGGTGCCCTGCGACGCCGGCCACTTCCGCCAGGTCCTCGACGGCGCCATGCACAGACGATGCGGCATCAGCTCATCAGCCTGAAATGAAATGCCTTCCTGGCTGGCCATGACCATGATGACGACGACAACGCGTCCCATGAGGCGACCTAGCTAGCACAGCAGAGCAGCTTCAGTTTATCTGTATGTAGTACATAGAGTACATAGATATATGAAACTAGTTTGTTCTTTGTTAGGTCGATTAAATTCTTTGATGAACATATATATACAACGATCGATGCTTATAATTTTGAAGGCTCACGCTTATCGGCTTGTTTCGTACAGTATGTGTGATGATCGACGATAGAGGAAGGGTAGCAGAAATTGGAGCAGGGGAAGGCAGAACTGGAACAGGGAGAAGGGTAGAATCGGGGCGCGGCAGGAACCCGCGAGGACGATTTGGATTTCTGTTCCAGTTCGGTTACAATTCCCCTTTTCTCCATCAGAAGGTGTCCCCAGCTTATATACACGCCGGTTCTCCACGCTGTTGCCAGACAGGCAATAGGATCGCTACTCGCTATTACTCTTACAAGTGGGGCCCGCTAGGCAGCCACTACTCCTGACAGTATGTCGAAAGTACACCACAAACATCCTGTTCGTTTGCCTGGGCTTGTTCGTTGCTGGATCGTGAAGAAGTACTGCTGGCTGGTTTTGTGTAAGAGAAAAATACTGTTCCGGCTAAAAATTTACGATCGTTTACGAGGGAATAAGCCCAGCAGATCAGGCTGCTGCTTCTTAATTAATTCTATAACACGCACAAGAAATTAGTACTTTCGTAAATAAATCAAGAGTTTTAAAAGTGCCTGTACAACTACCGTACGTGTTCGAAACTTTGTATCAGATTCAAAGTGGCAATGCGCATATCACTAAGTGCTTCCCCAACGCACCACCGTGTACTACTACCTCAACGCGCGTTGCAGAGAGAAAGGAGTTGCCTCCGTTGGCCCCCAGCCAATAAAGCTGAGTACTTGAGCCAGTGAAAGACATAAAACTGTTCGAGAAAAAAAAGGACATAAAGCTGTTTGCTTGCGTCAGGCCAGAGAGCTGCCTCCGTTGCGTGTTTTGAGAGCTCAATTTTTTCTCTCCTACGCGTACGGTGCTTTTGGGTGAGGCCAACAAACTTGACCGCCCGCGTTGGGGCTGCCCTAAGTAGCAGCAGTTGATGTCGTCAGCCACGGTGAATTTTTGTAGACAGAGAGAGGAAGGCCGCCGTGTTTCTTCGTCACCCCCTGTTCCTGGAATACTAGGATTTGCGGCCTGTTGTTTTTTGCCGATGAGAAATGAAGTCGTTTTCAGAGCAGCAGAGCTCTCTGTTATCTGATACTGAAAAGGCTCTCCATCGTTCACTTGGAAAGTTTTTATTTTATTTTATTTTGGAAGAGTGTTCACTTTGAAAGTTGGAATATATAGGAAGGAAGCCCAATCTATACTTCTAGAATTCTCTCTCTTTTCAGAAACAAACAAGATAACCTCCGATCTGCTTTTCTTACAAGCAAGATGGTCCGATATACTTTAGAATGCTTTACTAAAGTGTTAATAAATTAAATTCTAGAGGACCGTTGTATATACTTGTATGTGTTGAAGAAGGGCCCTAGCTAGGTCCATTGAACTTGGCGCACTCCCAAGAGATAGCACCATCGACATGGTACAAAACGGAACATGCAAACTGTTGCTGTGCTCCGTCCAAATGCAAAAGATGAATAGTGTGTCAAACCCTTTGCGAATTGCGACGCCATTTGTCGAGCCATCTTCGAACATCGACCTATCAACGGCTAAGAAATGAGGATCCTAGGATGCAGAACCAGGTCTCCCTACTGCAGGTCTGCAGCACAGTCCAGAAAGAGACGGTTATAGGCACATAGGGCTCCGTTCGCTGGTCTGAACTTTGGCTGAAACTGGCTGAAAACACTGTTCCGGCTGAATTGTTGTGAGAGAAAAACACTGTTCCGGCTGAAAAAACAAGCCAAACAAGCCAAATTTAAGACAAGCGAACGGGGCCATAGGACCTATTCACTTGATCATTTCTGTGACTTATATGTCGGCTGATGCTATTTTGTTGTGAGAAAAAATACTGTATCGTAGCTGATAAGCATGGCTAATACGATCAAGCGAACATGTTATACTGTGTTGTTTAGTCCGTCTGATGTCCAGCAACGAAGACCCTCATTTGGATCTGACTAATTTTCAGTATGTTCATCAATTTTCCTCTCTTTTTTCCAACGGTTGAAGCTTACAGTATTTTCCAATGGGATCTGTCCAATTTTCTGCTTGAATTGATATTGACGTGTAGTATATACTTGTTTTGGCGTGCCCGTGCCGGCCGCTTCAGTTCCTAGCTTAGTCGCTGGCTGGTGGCTGCTACCATGATTTATATGGTGCTCAAGGCTTTGCGTCTCAATCCAATTTGCCCGTTGACAAACCATCGTCTCAAGAGAATTCTAATCACATGCCCAACGTCATGTTGGTATGAAACATGTTTCACTGCACAACCTCAAAGACGTTTGTAACGAGAGATGGCCTTCTTATAAATAAAAAATAAACAGAGAGAGATGATGGTCTAAGCCTAACCAAATGCTCTCTTAAGTTATCAGAGAAATTCTCAACCACGCGCATTACAGAGCGTCAGAGCGTGATTTGTGGACGAGATCTTAATAAATCGCTTACCGGTCACCTCTCCCCATGCGGACGGGATCTACAGAGTACATACAGAGCGTAGTTTGTGGACGCATGGAGGCGTCTGTTGTCCAATAGAAAGCACCAGTGCGACACTGCTGCATAGGACGTTTTTTCATTGTTCAACCTATTTGTTTCCTGCTGTAACAGTATAGCAGCCTGCACCGCAATCGGCTAAGAAGAAGAGTTTTAGATAGAGCACTGCAATTCTAGGAGGACGGGGATCATTGCCGTGAATCTCACAAATCTAAAGGGCCGTTTGGATCCTTTATTTTAGAGGATTTGAAATAGACTTACTAGATTAGGCTATTTGGCTTATAATTTGATATTCTATAATTTTCTCAAGCTCACGAATAAGCCTATCTCAAATTCATTGAGTAAGAGATGGAAATGGATTCTATAGAATACTATGTAATAATTCTACTCTCCAATTTATAGCACACTCTTTAACTCACTTCCCTATAATAGAAATACAACATATAAGTACGTCACTTATATGCCTAACAATAAATATATAAATATATTCTATATACAACTATATTAACTTAATTAATCTATGTCTAAATTATAATTATTAGAATGAATTCAATTCTAAGAATCCAAGCAGGCCAGCGTAGTTTTGTTGTTTTTGTTGATTGTCATTGCTGCAAAAGTCTTGGCCTCATTATTGTGGCAAAGACTTAACCTATACTACTAATAGAAATATATAGTGAAACGTTTTTCAAGTCAATTGACTTTTCCATCCAAGTTAATTGATCCACAAAGGAATGATAGCAATGCAACCTGGGCCCGTGTGGCAACCACCAACTTCGCAGTCTGCCGTTTTCTTGGCCTTGGCCGCCCTTTTTTGATCAAAGTTGTTGAACCTCACGTGCCCCATGCATCTTCTTCTTCAAGTTGTAGCCTCTAGCTGTGAAGATTCTCGTTCAAGTTGCAGCCTGTCTTAAGAGATTCTTGTTCTTCCTCCACCCGCAGTGTCACTTCGCGTGGAAACTGGAAACAGGACAGCAGCCTCCTCCAGATGCAGACAGTTGATTAGTTAATATGAAAAATCCAGTTTAACTACACGTTTTGTTACAGAGCCCAGTAATGAATGCTACAAGTGGCTAAACGACTAGAGGTATTAATAATATTCAGTTAAGTATGTATGAGTATTAATTAGTTACAGAAAAACTGGTTAGCTTGTCCATATTTAAAAATGAGGTATCTTAGGTATTACGAGTACTAATAAGTCATACATAATTATTGCTAAGTGTATTTACCAATAATAATTAGCTGTGTACCTTCCCAAGATGGTAGAGGCTAGAAACCTTTTTCTATTATCTAAAAAATTACCAATGATAATTTATATCTAAAGAGGCAACTTACATAGTTATTGCCACAAGGTATTAAAATTATTTAAAATAAATTGTTAGTTTCCCTAGTATGTGATTCGTTAAGGAACCATTTTAATTGCAAAAACATGGAAATAGAAACGTACCGCCCATGCATGTGGCACACAATATATATGTTTCCTTTGAGTTAGTTTAATATATGAACCAGAAGCACATATATATAGGAATATGGGTATACATGAAGATTTAATAGGGATTATTTTAGTTTATTTTTTAATAAAATGGAGGTGGATATTTAGAGAGAAAAAAAGGTCATCACATAACTATTATTGTATTAGCTTCTTTCAAATTGCTCGCCGGATGTTTTGTTTTATTTTACACATTATTTTAAATAAAAAATAGGATCTATTTTGTTTCTAGCGGTGGTCAAGATTAACGTGTTTCTCAAAAGGAGTTCATTTTCCCATCTCATTCCACTTCATCCAATCAACAAAACCACACTCCAATCTGCCATTGGTCTACCAAGCATGGAGGAGGAAATTGGGAGATTGTGACCGGGTTGACCGTAGTACCCACCATTCTGTCTGCGTCATTGACCGACGGCTAGAACAATCGCAAAGCCTCCTCCGAACACTTGGTACGTGAAGAACCGGTGGTGCATCATCTAAGCCGAACGCTACTAACGGTGCATCTTTACAAGTTACTTACTAGCTATAATACGTCTTGCTTTGTTAGCTTGTTCCATTCCATCCGCGGTCCACGGACGAACAGTTGCTAACAGTAATAGCTAGCCTGCTGAGGTGTAGAAAACGGCAGTTCATCATCATCTTTGGTCTCGATCGAAAGCCGTCGTCAGCGTGGTCGTGCATGCGTGCAAAGCTTTTGCACGAGTCGACAAAGACCTGCTCTCCAATCCAATGCAACTTTTTCTTTGCGCAGCCAGCAGCATAAAGTCTTCTTTTACAACAAAACAGCATCAGTCGATAGTCATACAAACCATCGGGCGTCACCTTCCCTTTCTTTCTCTCTATGTAAACGC